GAGGGAGGGAGGGAGAGAGAAAGAATTTTTCAATATTTATTTTTTAGTTTTCAGCGGATACAACACCTTTGTTGGTATGTGGTGCTGAGGATCGAACCCAGGCCGAACGCATGCCAGGTGAGCGCGCTACCGCTTGAGCCACATCCCCAGCCCCAGTGGACCACCCTTGACAGAAACTAAACTACAGTATTATGGGTTGAATTTTGTCCCCCTCCATTCCCAACTCATATACTGAAGACATAACTCCCAGTGCCTCAAAATAGGACTTCATTTGGAAACAAAGCAGTTGTAGATTTAGTTAAAATGAGTAGGGGTTCACTTACTCCAATATGACTGGTATTCTTTAAAAAAGGGAAAATATGGACAACAGACATAGCCCCAGAGAAAACATCAAATAAAGTCTGATGTTGTGACTGGGCACAATAGGGCATGCCTGTAATCCCAGGTACTAGTGAGGCTAAGGCAGGATGGCAAGTTTGAGGCCAGCCACAGCAACTTAATGACATCTGTCTTAAAAATAAAAAGGGCTGAGGATGGGTCTCAATGGTAAAGTGCTCTGGGTTCAATCCCTGGAAAAAAGAAAAGACTGGAATTCTGCTACCACAAACCGAGGAACTACCAGAAGCTAAGAGAACAACCTGGAACAGATTCTTGCCTAGAGCCTTTAGAGGAAGCATGGCCCTGCCAACACCTTGATCTCAGGCTTTTAGTCTCCAGAACTATGGGACAACAAATTTCTGTTGTTTAAGACACTTGGTTTGTGGTACTTTGTTACAGCAGTTCTAGGAAATAAATACCCTGAAAATAAACAAAACAAAACGTTAAGAGGTTAGTAAAGGAACAATATTTGAAGCAGGATCAGGGAGGAAAATGAAAAGATGGCAGATCCGCATCAAGTAGGTACTCATGAAATTAAAACTTTTTATTTTTATTAAGCACACTCCAAATATGCCTTATTTAATACAAGTGCTTAGGAAAAAAATTTTTCAATGCTGGGGACCAAACTCAGGTCCTTGTGAATACTAGGCTAGTACTCTACCACTGAACTACATCCCAAAGCTTGACAGCAAATGAAATTGGGGCTGGGTTGTGGCTCAGTGGTAGAGCACTTGCCTAACACATGTGAGGCACTGGGTTTGATCCTTAGCGGCACATAAAAAAATAAATAAGTAAAAGAAAGGTATTGTGTCCATTTACAACTTAAAAAAAAAAGACAAATTAAGTAGAGGAAGGAACAAAGGGAAAGGGAAGGTACTGGGAGATTATTCAAATTATATGAGTATATGGATGTGGCATAATGAATCCCACTATTATGTATAATTACAATGCAAAAGTAAAATATAAGAGTTCAATGATACAGTGGACTAATCATTAATAAATATTTCTGTAAGAAAAATAGATAAATCTGAAATTATTTATGTGCCATTTTCAAGTTTTAGCAGGTATGTAGTAATAAGATAGACTGAGTTACTTGAAAGACAAGTACAAAACATAAATTATGCCATTACTCATAGGAAGGTAATATGTAAAGGCAAAAATACACTGACTATAATCACACTGTAGCTTTAAGAAAAGTGTTGACGGTTTCAGGTCACAAAGGCACTATTTAGAGTACAGCAAGTGGGACCATGTGTCCAGCAGGCCACACAGTCATGTGCTTATCCAAAGAGGGCAATTCATATCCTCTTAGTGCAAGGAAGAAAACTATGTTATTAAAGGAGCTTAAAGGTTATGTACCCTAATAATTTCATTTGCAAAAAAGTGAACACTGATGCCAGTTATTATCAGCAAGACAAAACAAGAGCCCATAGCACATATCAGGCTTCTTTAAGAAAAATATAAAAATCATATTAATAGGCATCTTAGTTCCTGTTTCCTCTTCCAATTGGAAAAAGAAAAAAGGAAGCAAGTCTTCTTGCGTCAAGATTTTATTATAAAAATGTGTAAAACGTCTATTGCAGGTGAAGGCACCCAAATTTATTTTTCCTGTCCCCATATGCATAAACTACATAGTTAATGGTAAAGAATGGTAGGAAGTATTAACAAAGAGTTCCTAGAAATGTCTGCAAATTCAGCTGAGCGATCAAATACAAAGTTATGTCTAGACTGCTGGAGTGCTCTCCACAAATCGGCATAAACTAACACGACATTAAACTAGAAGAACCCAATCCCTCACCTTCAATCAAGGAAACTTTCCTGAGTGCCCTTCAGAGTCATAGGAAGTTGATGCCAGAGCACAGCTTAAAACGTTTCACGGTAACAGATTTGACTTCTGTCTGGGGGGGATGGGGGGATGGGGGGATGGGGGTGCTCCTAGCCTAAAAGGCCCTAGGAGGTTAGGAAAGGGACTACCTATTCTCAAGGCTGTTTTCCGAAAGAGGGCAAGACCAGTACAGAACTGACTCTTTCAGTAAAGAGCTGAGGCTTTCAGAGGAGAAACCCAGGGAAAAATTAGAGAAGTAAACAGGTTTTTACAGCACACTGATAGTATTATGCCCCTCCAATTGTTTTTTCGAAGTTACAGAATCCTCTCACTCAAAGCAGGCCAAACGAAGGATTTACCCCCTCTTCTCAGAAAGCCTCTCTTCCCCCTGTACCCCCGCTCCCCTCCATCCCGAAGGCATGCACTAGTGCCCAAGCACTGCTGAAGTCCACTGCGGGCAAATCCAGTCTAGGGCGGTTGCCTAAAAGTCAGCCTGACGCCGAGAAATCTAATCGTCCAAGTCTGCTCTCTCGGACTATTGTGCCTCTAGGGGAAGGCAGAACAGGTGAGAGTGGCAGGGGAGAACCAGTTCCCAGACAGTCCGAAAATCGTGAGGTGAGGGTGCGGGGCGAGGAAGGGCGGGAATGCTGCATGGCCCCCCTCCCGGAGATCACCTTGCGCTGACCTAGATGAGTTGAGCTGCGAAGGAAGGAGCCCCCGCCTGCGAAGGAGGAGGGCGGGGCGGAGGAAGGCGGGGCCTCGGGTGGGGGCGGGGCCTAGAACGGGATCTTTCTGGAGCTGGCCTGTGATTCGCGGATGGATTCTAGCCGGAAGCGGGTGGGGAGGCGTCGGCGGCTGCGGCGGCGCACGTGGTGACGTGCGAGGGGGTGCGGCGCGGGAGTGCAGCCGGCGGCGGCAGTGTCTCCGGGACTCGCGTGGAGGTCGGTCACTCTGAGTCAGTCGCTGCGCTGTTTCTCCGCCTGCTGCTTCAGCGCGGCTGTACCAGTGAGCGAGCTCGTTGTTGGGAGTCGTTCGCGGCGCTGCCTCCTTCTCGTAGCCGCCGCGGACTGGCTGCTCGTTCTCTCGCTCGATCGCTGTCCCCCCTCCGCTGCCTCGAGGCGCTTTCCGTTGGGCCAGTTCCCTCCCGCTTCCTCCTGCTCCCCTTCGAAGCTCTAGAGATGAATTTTTCCATCTCTTTAGAGATGAACCAGGTAATACGCTCTGGTCCTACCGGCGGCGGAGGAGGGAGAGGGCGCGGCCGGGATCCGAGAGGAGGGGATGGCGCCGGCGGCCGGGAGGATAGTGGGAGGTGCGGCACGTTGTCCTGGTCTCACAGTGGGCCGCCCCAAGCCGCCGCAGCCGCCAGACTCTGTAGGAAAAGCGGGCGGCGCGCGGACGTTCGCTCTTGGTGCTGTCATGGTTGCCAGGTCGCATTGGCGGCCCAGGGCGAGCGCCGACCGCTCCTCAGGACAGCTCGGGGGCCTTATCTAAGCCAGGGAGTGGCGGCGGGAAAGAGAAGCTTTTGCTGGAGGGGTCATTGAGGTTTGGGGCAGGGCGCCACAGGGCGGGACTGACTACCCGCCGAAAGAAGAGCGCGGGAAGCTGCGATTTCGCTGTCAGGAACGGCCGCCTAGCTCAGGGTATGGGCGCCAGTCTCTGAGACGACCTGGGGCCCGGCGCGTGAGGGCAGGGAAGCGGTCTCCAGTCGCGTAGGTTCTGGGACCTGGAGTGTGGTGGCACGAAGACCCCGATCGCCGTGGGCCGCGGGGTCCTTTGTTCCCGCTCCACGTTGCCCGCTTTTCTTGCCAAGCGCGGGGAGAAGGGGGCGGGAGGAGCGAGGGAGCGGCTGCCCTGACGTGTCGGCGCTGAATGACTGCGGGACTGGCCAATCCTGGGCGGGGGTGTGCGGTCGCTGGGCGCCTCGCTTCCCAGCCTTTGGAGTGGGCGCCGGCCTGGCCGCGCTCTGAGTGAGACCCATGGCTGCCAGATCGGCCACTCACTCGGGGGGCGCTGACCACTTTGTTTTTGCAAATGAAATGGGTGGAGAGGTTTGCTTCTTTTTCGTCCTGCCAGGCATTTTACAAAGTGTCTCTGTCATATGCTCTGGATAGGAAGTCATCAGACAATATCAGACTGAAAGTTGAACATAGGGAAATTTGAACCACAGATGCTTTAGAAGTACATTTACTTTTTTCTTTACACGTAGTATAGAAATGGTGTGAGATAGCTGACATTTAAAACAATTCATCAAACAATGGTCCAAAGGGCCACGTGTATAATTTAGTAGCTAGAGGTAAATGGGACTTTACTAACCAGAAACAGAGTAGTTTCCCTATTTTCTTAATAGATGAAATCTCTAGCTAATTAAGGCACTACTTTCTATAACCTTTGTTTTAATTTGCAGTTCTAACATCTCCCCCTCCCCCCCGTTTTAAATACCTTTTTGGCTTCTTGCTTAAAAATAAGCTGGAGTTGTGTTTTTCTTGCTTGATGGATATTTTAGATGGCAATTGAGTGTGGTTTTGCAAGTACATTTTTTTGATTTAAATGTTTTCCTATTAGAGAAATATCCTAATCATTGATACTAGAATGAGGTACCCCTAAAAAATTATTAACTTTTTAGCAGTGTGATTATGTACTAAAATCCTGCAGGTAGAGTTTCTTAAAGGTTAGGGATCCTCCTACCTAGTGTGGTGCTAGACGCTGTAAATTGAAGTATTATGAATAGGAGAGTTAGAACCAAAGAAAATCCATGTATGTCTTAATTTGTAAATGTCAACTCTCACCTTCTAAAACTTCTAAAGCTAGACCAACATTTTTACACTTTTGAAAGCAACCTTCGTGTCCAACAGGTACCTCAGCATTAAAAAGTCCCAGACACTCTGCTTCCTTCCTATTTTTCTTTGTGCAGCAAATGAAAAACAAGGTTTTGCTTCATAAATTCTTTTTTAAAAATTACTGATTTTTGGTAATGAGGCCACTACATCCCAGCTAAAATACCTTATATCCTCACTACCTTAGTTAACTATGCATGGGTGTGCAGAATCCTCCTTTGGTTGCCCTGTGCCCATGTTTTGCCCTTTCCTACAGACGATGCCCCCACTTTTCTACTCTAATGCTTCCTCACTTAAATCCTCCATATGGTCTCCATACTTAGTATTGTTTAAAGCTTGGAATTAATCTTTTACTTCCTCTTTCACTAGTTACCATATGCATCCTGCAATCTGCAGTTCCATTGAAACCAAAATGGTGAAGTTTCTGGAATGTATGTGCTGTCATACCTTTTCCTCTTTGTTTGAGCTGTTTTCACTGTTTGGTTTGTCTCTATTCTTGGCCTTTTGTAAAGTGTTCAACGCTGAGGAATTGAGTCAACTCCATTGTGTTACAAGCATTCCATTCCAGTTTGTGCCTTGCCATATGTTTGGTACCACAAATATTTGTGTTGTAACCAAAGAATTACAAAACCGTGTGTTTAAAAATGTAGAGTTTGGTGAGTTTTGATAATGGTTGGTATTAGTGGTTGTGGAGGTGTCACTAGGAAGCTGTAGCTTCTGGCTTTAAAAAGTGGGCTATGGTTGTAATTCAATGATGTGAGGTTCAATCCCCACCCCTAGGGTGGGAGGGGGATGTTATTTTACTTTGTAGTTTGTCTGCCTCAAAAATTGCTTTTACGCCTAAGTAGTTGTAATTTACCTTGAGCTTTTAAGAATGCTTTGAAAATTTGAAATTTGATAAGTTTTATCTTGCTCTTACTGATGGTCAGAATTTGTGCCTGCCTTTTTCACAACTCTTTAAGACTTGTTGAATTGTGTGTCACTTAAGCTAATGTTTCTGGGCTGTGGTAACTTCTGAAATTCTGAGTGATACTATACTAAAGTTGTTTAATTATTCATTTATGAGTCTTCTGCCTTCCATTTCTTACACTGGCTGTTCTAAAGAACTGAAATACATTTGATGCTAGTTTTAATTTTTAAAGTGGATTACCTGAAAGTATGTTTTAAATACCCAGCAAAATAATTTTTATGCTCTTTTACGTCTATGGGATAGTTGGGCTTTTGGTCTGGCTTTTCAAAAAAAATTAATTTTCCCCATTTTTTTCCTGTAAGTTATTATTGTGCTTCAGTTTTATAGACCAAATAGGGTCTAAAAATTTCATGAAGAGTTTAAAACTCTTGATTTGCCCAAGTTTATTTTAATGAAAGTGAATGTGAACTTTCAAAAACAAGTTTGCATTAATTTACGTGTCACCTGGACTTCAACTAGCTTTTACAATTAAGTAGCGTTGTACTGACAAATGATAAGAAAATTAAAGAGATGAAGTTTTTGTTAAGACATTCTGTTTTCTCCTAAAGTTCTGCAGTAATTATAACCATCTACTTGTTTTCCAAAATAAATTTGAGGAGGAACATTCAGTAGTCAAATAATAGATGCCATTTTTATTCTCAGAACAAGACAAGTTTGCAAATGTGTGCTGACAAAAAAAGTGGTCAAAGTTTAATATATTTGTGAATCTCAACAGTATTTTGGCTTTTCAAAGGCTATATTTTATTATTACTTTTCCCCCCCTGTTACTGGGTGTTGAACCCAGTGACACTTTACCTCTGAGCTACATCTCTAGTCCTTTTCATTTTATTTGGAGACAGGGTCTCACTAAGTTGTCCAGGCTGGTCTCAAATTTATGATCTTCCTGCCTTAGCCTCCTGAGTCACTGGGATTACAGGTGTGTGCGATCTCACCTGGCTAAAGGATATAGTTTTATCACATAATTTGCACGGCAGGGGCTGGGTATGTCTTGGTGGTAGAGTGCTTGCCTAACATGGGTGAAGCCTTTGGGTATTTGGAAAACACCTGTTAAAACTAGTTTCGTAGGCTGAGGCTATAGCCAATCTAGATGAAAGCATAAAAGCAGAAGAAATTAATATTGCCTAATGGTATGATAGAGATTTAACAAAGGAGTAAGCATTGACCATTAACAGGAGTCCCAGACTGCATTGGAATTCTTGGGTTTCCTTGAAATGAAACCTAAGTTATGGAAAAACCAGTTAGGGCATATGGAATCAAGCTCACTCACAGATTGTGCACAAATTAAAACTAATAAAATAAGTTTGTTGAATTAGAACTGACTGGCCTTCATTGGAGTCCTGGGGCAAGTGATTCATTTAGACATAATTGTTAAATTTCAAATTGTGGATTTGATATATAAAGCAAAGCAATTTTAAGATGTCCAATTTTTGAAGTATGCACATATTTCACATAATTACTTAGTTCAGTTGATTTTTTTAAATGTCATAAGAAGTTGATACTAATAATTGATGACATGTGAAAGCGAAGGGGGAGAGTAAAGTAGGAGGACTGATTTCCTTGATTTGGTTATTTCATTAGAATTTTATTACTATATGTGAGAAAAATCATCACCCATATCACAGACATGAATACTTTTTGTTTATTTAGTTTATTTCAACAAATTACTCATCTTTATGTTGAGGTTTTAGGCTAGTTATGGGGAGAGATTGGATGAATACAAAAGAGACAAAATGGAAACTTTGGTTTCAGTTGGGTCTTGAATCAAGGAAGACAAGCTTGTACCTAGAAGCAGAGCACAGGACAGACAAGCCAGAAGCCCACATATAACCTTTCAGAAGAGGGTTTTGTATGTGGAAGATGGGAGAAATTACTTGTCAGATGTGGGGATTTGGCAGAGACTGGCCAAAAGATTTCATCTGGCAAAGGTATTCTACCAGAATTCTAGGTAGGGAAAAAAAAGAAAACTTGAACAAAAGTACAGAGGCCAGGACATTCAAAGCACATTTGAGAGAACAGCATATCAAGTTTTTAACAATTATATAGAACAGACATCTCATGTTTGCATATTAGTTGGAATTTAATAATAAAGAGAGTTAAGAAATATTTATATTATTAAATTGGGTATACAAGTCAACTTAATACAAGTTGATATACAACACAATGAGACTCAAACAATGAAACATTATCTCCTGCCTTCTGGGGAAGGATTTTTTTTAAGATCATGTGAGTAGTTGCAAGTTATGTGAAAAGTGTTTATGTGTAATTGTTAGCATTTTTTATGTAGTATGAAAATTGTTGCCATTTACTTTAAAATCTCTTAAAGATCATTGGCAGGCTTTGATCATTCTGAGTGTCTAACTTAATTTTGTCATTGTTTCAGATTATGATGCATCTTTGTCACAGAAGAAATTCGTGTCTATAGCTTTTAAGGACTTGATTACATCATTTTCAAGCCTGATAGTTTTGGAACCACCATTAGAGCTTAAGACACATCTACCTTTACTTCAGCTACCTGTCTTCATACCTTGACTAAGTGCTTCATTTCATCACTCCTTTGCCTTTGGATTATTTGCATTCCCAGTAATACATTTCTTCCAGTGTAGTAGGTAAGTGAATATCCACTGTCTAATCCAGTATTGATCCAGTGTTAGGACTAGGAATGCAACTCAGCAGCAGAGTACTTGCCTAATATATATGAGGTTGGATCCCCATTACATCCCCTGCCCAAAAAGGGCACAGTGTTTTTCTAAAGACTGTGCTGAATATAGTAGCAGCCTTTCACAATGTTTAAAAGGCAGAGAAGTCAGTAACCTTTGAGTGAAAAAGCATTTTTTGTATTTTTCCTTTCTATAAACTAAGTTACCTCAAACTGGAATCTCCTGTTACTACTTTTTAATGATATATTTTGTGTAATCATTAGCTGTTTATAAGTGAAATGTAAAAATGTTTAAAGAACATAAATTTCAATTATAAAATATTAGGAAATAAGTTCTTTAGAATACGTGAAACTTAAAGGGAGCATAGAGTTCCTCTTTTTAAATCTCACTACTTTCTATACTTTAAAACATTTGGAGGGAAAAAAAATCATCTGGCAGATAGGGAACCAAGACTTTTAATTGTGTTATGGGAACAGAGGAAGAAGGCTGTTATTTCCCATTTAAATTTTGATTATACATAATTTTGAGGAGTAATCTCCAATTGAGAGTCCTTAATGGAAACTGAGAAAGTACAGGATTGGGATATATAACAGTTTTTCTCATTTGTGGGTAAAGATAATGGCAGCAACACAAATCCCAAGGAAATCTGTTGAGATGGCTATTTCACATTCTTCCAAGCTTTTTAGGTTGCTTATTATGGGCTTGGGCAGCATGGAGTTTGATTTTCTTCCCCTCTGAATGAATATGCTAATGGGCATGGAAACCTGGCTCATGCTTCTGAGATACCCACTGCTGTATGAATCCTTAAAGATCTGTGATCAGAGTATGGGAGTATAAAAACTTGGGTATTCAGTACCGATGTTGTTTTAACCAAGCTTTTTGTGTAATAAAATTTTTACATGTTGTTGATGGGATGGAATTTTGAGAAAGGCACCACATTAATATATGATTTTTTAAAAAACCATTTCTTGCAAAAAAGGTAACTTAGCTTTCTTTCTGGTGTTTAGCCAAATTTATAAGGAAAAATGATTCCCAATGGATATTTGATGTTTGAAGATGAAAATTTTATTGAGTCTTCTGTTGCCAAATTAAATGCCCTGAGGAAAAGTGGCCAGTTCTGTGATGTTCGACTTCAGGTATTTAAATTATTTGGAAACTTGTAGAATTACATCTTTTAGTAAAAGGTGTTAAATTCTTGGATTTGCTTTGTTTTTTTTCCCCATAGGCATTTAATGAAATGACTTTTTAAAAGAATGCTTTACCTAAAATGTATGATAAAGGAGGCTGGAGTGTTTGGTAATTATCTAGAGAAGTACATAAGTCACAATACTTCTAATTTTAATTTTTCATAATTTCAGGTCTGTGGTCATGAGATGTTAGCACACAGAGCAGTACTAGCTTGTTGCAGTCCCTATTTATTTGAAATCTTTAATAGTGATAGTGATCCTCATGGAGTTTCTCATGTTAAATTTGATGATCTCAATCCAGAAGCTGTTGAAGTCTTGTTGAATTATGCCTACACTGCTCAGTAAGTACTTTAAGCCATATAATTAGGCAATATCATCATAAAATTCCAAGTCTCTCTAGATCTGTTCAAGTAAATAGTCTGTTTTAAGGCCTTGGTATCATACATATAAAGAGCTTGTTTTTTGTTTCTTTTTTAAATAGGTTGAAAGCTGATAAGGAATTGGTGAAAGATGTTTATTCTGCAGCAAAAAAGCTGAAGATGGACCGAGTAAAGCAGGTAGAATATCAGAAGTAAATATATAAAAGGGTTACTATTACTAGAGAGTTTGTATAATCAGAATGTAGAAATTATAAAACATTTTGTTAGTTTCAGAAACTTGAAAATGCCCTTCTTTCCCAAGAACTGAATATGTTGTTTTAACTAATTTGGGCTAATGTCTTGCTCTTTTGAGAGTCTTCTGTGGCATGGTAGATATATTGGTTTCTCCTTTTTTAATGATTTTTTTTTTCCATCTGATGTTATTTCCAAATGCTCTTTTAAAAAACCCAAACACTTTTTTTAGGGTTGACATGGGTATTAGGAAATTCAGTGATACATTACCTCTAGTCTGGGGGTCAGTTTATTTTTTGGCAGCATTCATTAAGTAGCACAATTACACATGGACTAATATACTACTGACTACTATAAGGTAGTAGTACTACCACTGACTACTATAAGGTAACTAACTCAAAACCACAAAACTAGCTCTCCCACAGCTGCATGGACTTAGGCCTTTTGGGCTGATCTCACTTTTAGAAAACTGTATTGCCATCCCAGAGCTGTGCCAGTGAAATGTGCTAAGGAGTTGAAGAGGTATATTGCAGTCTCTGATGAGTTAAAATATTCATCTGTTTTTCCCAAGAGAAAGCATATAATTCATACTTTTAGTTCTGTTTTTCTATACATCTTGGTTCCTCTTTAAAAGTATTCTGCCTAGAATTTAATGCCTGTTAGAAGTGCTTAATAATTTACAGGGGAAAAAGGCATTTAATTATTACAAGTCAGTAAACTACAGGCCACAATCCAGGCCCCTGTTTTTACAAAGTTTTATTAGAACACCGCCACACTCATTCATTTACATAGGATCTACAACTGTCATACAGCTGTGGTGACAGGTTTGAGTAATTATGATAGACAATATGGCCAGAAGACTAAAATACTATCTGGCCATATTTTGCTTCTTCTAATGCCACTTCTCTATTCAAAAATTCTGTGATTTATAGCAGTATTACTAAGTTTAGCATTCTAGATACTCCCAATTTAGTTGCTTTTTCCCAAAACTATTTCCTAATTGTTTTACCTTTTGCTTCAGCCATACTAAATTGTTTGTAGCCTCTTGCCTACTTTCTACATTCAACATCAACATCATTCATCTCTTTTGTAAGGCAGTTTTGATAGGGCCTTTCATGAAACCTCAGCTAATTATTCTAGTTAAATACTTCTGAACCCTACTTACCTTTTCAGTTTGTCGCGTCTATCCTTAAAAAACTGCATTGTATGGCATTCTTTAATGTCTGTCAGTTGTATATGTGTTGTTCCCACTGTTAAATTTGTTGTATTTTAAGATGGCAATTTTTTATTCTTCTTTATATTTTCACCTAGTATTAACATATTGAATATAGTTTGTAGAATAAATATATAAAAATGTTGGTACTTGTTTATTTTCTTTCGAAGGTTTGTGGTGATTATTTACTGTCTCGGATGGATATTACCAGCTGCATCTCTTACCGAAATTTTGCAAGTTGTATGGGAGACTCCCGTTTGTTGAATAAGGTTGATGCTTATATTCAGGAGCATTTGTTACAAATTTCAGAAGAGGAAGAATTTCTTAAGCTTCCCCGACTAAAGGTAAAGACAACAACATAATAATGAATTATATACTATCTAGTTCTATGCACAGAATCTTTGTGGATGATTGAAGCAAGTGAGTTATAATGGTTATGAAAACAATAATATATTGAAATTATTATTCTTAGCATTGTAATGAGTTTCCACCTGCCAGTTAGTTTACTTCCTTTGTTTTTTGGTTACTTAGAATAAATGTATGTAATGCATTTGGGTATCTATGACAACTTCACTATAAAATTGAGAATTAAACTAAAAACTAGCATTTTAATACTGATCAGTGTGTCACTGTTTTTTCATCTCTAGTTGGAGGTAATGCTAGAAGATAATGTTTGCTTGCCCAGCAATGGCAAATTGTATACAAAGGTAATCAACTGGGTGCAGCGTAGCATCTGGGAGAATGGAGACAGTCTGGAAGAGCTGATGGAAGAGGTTAGTTCTAAAGTAAATGGGATTGAACAATTCTTAAAAATTATTTTGCTATAACATGAAGGATTCCCTTTCACTTTTATTTTATAACCATGACCCTAAAGAATTTAAATTTTGCTATAGGTACCCCTAAGCTGAGAAACAGGGGGGGTGTCCAGGTGAGCTGAATGAACTGTTCAGTTTGGTCTTCTGCTTTTCTTTTTTTTTTTCTTTTTTAAAAATTTCTTTGCTTATTATGTGCTGTTAACTTTCTTTAAAGTAGCATGTAATTTGCTTTAGAAATGGGAGGTGGTACTGAAGTTTTCTGTAGATTCTTAATTTTTCTTCACAGGTTTTTGCTTTAAGTTTGACAAGTAGGTAAAGCTTCTAATGGTTGTTCCTCCCCATTGGTTTATCTCCCCATAGGTTTATTAACAAAACTAGGATACCCAAGACTGAAGAAACAAGAAGAAACCTCAAGTGTATTGACACGTAAAGAAGCAGCAGTCCTGCCCCAGTTCTCCTAAGAAAAATCCGCTGTGGGCAGAGAACGATGATGATTTAATGGTGTTTACTCCTTTACAGGATTCTTATCTCTAAAGCTTTGTGTTTTTCAATGGTGTTGTTAATACATAAAGTCACTCATTTAACTTGGGCTACTTTTAAAAAATACATAAGAAAAAAATTGATACAGAAATGGTGGGAATTAAAAATATACAGGTGGAGCAGTGGAGTAACCTTGAGTTTATTGCTCCCCATAAACCTTTCAGAATCAATAAAGGATTACCAAATCTGTTAGTCCTATAAAAATACTGTTGTCATTATGTTCTAAAAAGGCTAACAGTTGATCTTTAAGTTCTGTGATTTCCCACTTACCAGATGCACTAGCCATATATTTGCATCTGTTAAAGAGGATAACTACAGCTTGCTTGAATTTTTGCTCCTTTTTATGTTTTTCTTGACATTACCTACAGGAGAGAAGTATGTTTATACAAATCAGACCATTTATCTTCAAAGGTGTAAACTATTCAGTAGTTTTTTGTAAATATGTATATTCTTTAAGAGTCTATAAATTGTACTAGTGCCTTTTTTCTTAATGTAATAGAAGCTATGAAACAAATGAAGATTTCTTTCAAGCGAGTCAAGCCAAGGACTCTTCAGCCAGTATTGGAAGATTTTGTATTTGATTTTGCTTTTTTGTTTTTGCTTTTTAAATTTTTACCACCATGACATGTATTTTTCTTTACTTCGGAATCCTGCCAGAGTAAGAAGTCAAGAAGCTCAAGAACCACACTGGAGGTTACCTTGAGGCGTTTGTGTAATCTGCATACTAGTGGAGTAGCCATGGTGACAGTAGCCACATGGGTGTTCTGTTGCTGTTTTGCAGGTTCAAACCTTGTACTACTCAGCTGATCACAAGCTGCTTGATGGGAACCTACTAGATGGACAGGCTGAGGTCTTTGGCAGTGATGATGACCACATTCAGTTTGTGCAGGTACACATTGCACAGTCTGAGGTAACCTCAGGTTAAAATTTGGACAACTTTATGAAATACTTAAATTTTCCTTTAATAAAGGAAAGTGAACGAATTTCATTGGTATGACTGGACAGAAAACATTTTTGGGAGAAAGGAAGCATAACAGAGTTACTACCATTTTTTTCCATGTGAAAAGAAGTTAACTCACCATGTTAAAAAATCCCATTTAGGGTTGTTTTTTTTTTCTCATAAAGTAGGATTTACAAGTAGTAAGAAAAAAGCACAGTAAGTTGAAGCAATACAAAAATATTTTGTTTTGGTTAGATTACAAAAATTAGCTCTTTGCAACAGGCATGATTGATAAGCCCAATTTTGATGGAGTTGCAGGAGGACTCTCTGAGTTGTTGATGGCTATGAAAGAAATATTGGATGTTTTTTTAATTATTGATGTCTTGTTATTTGAAATTAGAAATGGCATAAACTTACAAGTGGTCCACCCTATGTTATTACTTGTTCTAGATGTTTCTTGAGCAAAATGAACTAAAGTAGTATGGTTCTGTTGTATTGATGAAGTTACTTTGCCTTTTATAAAGTCCAGTTTCATTTCCCTCTTCCTTTAGTGGGTAAACACATGCTTATTCAGACATAGAGAAAACATACGTTTTAAGTATGAATCATATAGCTTATGGACATATAAAATACAGAGAAGTACACAATTTTTCCCTCCAGTGCTTGGGATCAAAGCACATGCAAGGCATATATTCTACCACTGAAGTCACATCTTTAGCCTCAAACCTTAAAATGTCACACTGTGAACCAACTGGTATAAACACTGCCCGTATCAAGAAGAAAAGATTTCTAGTATCTTTAGCCTTTATCTACCCCTTCTTAGTCACAACCCTACTCAACCTGAGGATATCATGGCCTAACTTTTGCCGAAACAGATTGAGCAATCTTAGCATTTGCCTGTGTTTGAAATTTATACAAATGGTCATACAGTATGTATTTAAAATTTGGCCTTCAACTCAACTTCATATTTATGAAGGATAAGCTAGTAAATAGTCAACCCAAATTAAAAAGTGTTTTCCCTTAAAAATTAGAAGGTAAATGAAAGTAATATCCTGTGTGGTTATTGTACCAAGTGTTAAATCTGTGGAGGTCTATGGTAATAGTGGCTTAATATCTTTATTTAAAATAATTTTGGGGTTTGAGTTGGTGGAGAATTTTATTCATGTTTGTGCATTTTTAATAAAGGTATTTTATCTACTAACTATAAATATTTTAAGTTACATTTTTAAAGTATGTTTTTCAACAAGCAGAAGTTGAATGCCCAGTAAGTGACAGGCCATGATGTTTGGCATGGGGACCCCAAAATGCAAGAAATAGCTTCTGCTTATAGGACCTCATCAGAGTGGATGTTAAACAATACAGACTTACAAGTTGCACTAAAGGGTAGGTTGTAGTAGAGACAAGAGCTGAGAAACCCGGAATATTTCACAGAGGAGGCAAAATTTGAGCAATCGTAGTATTTGGAGGTATTTATATAGCAGATAGGGGTTAGATAGCAAGTTATCTATGTAAGGATGCTGCTCTTGGAGACTGGTAGCTAACTACTACCTGAATGGGCTTATACTTTATATCCCATAGAAATCAAGAAGAATTTATATGAGTAACTGTGGGGATCCTGACACATGTGAATTGTTAGGATGAATAAACATTTTGTAAGATAGAATGGATGAGAATTCTTTCTGCAGCTTTCAGGAATAGGAAAAGGAGGTTGAGAAGCAGCCATTAGAAAGGTAAGAATATGATTAGAATTTAATAATGTTATAAAAGCTACGTAAGGTAGGAGAAGAAAGTTGGAGGCAGAATAAATTTGTAAACTGTGAAATCCTTCTGTGGGAGGTCATGTAAAATAAGGTGAGGGATAGATACTGTATCAAGGAGTTAACTTGGGTTTCTGAGTTGTTTGTTGTATAACACTAGTCTTCAGTGTTACAGTGCCTTTTTCTTCCACAGTCATTCTGTCAGTTATAGTCCATACATTAGTTTTGCTCCAGTAAACCTTCTTAATAACACTCATTTGTGATACTTTGGACCCATTCTTTCCAAGAATTGGAATGAGGTTTTTATGTATTTTGTAATTCCTAATAACAGATGAAGTTAGATATACAAACCTTATTTTTTATTCCTAGTATTTCTATACTGTGGCAAATGTCACAGTATAAGAAGAATGGGCCTCATTCTCATAATTCCTAATCTTAATTTTAGCATATTGCCTTATGTATCATCTGAGGCAGTGTAACCTGTTTTCACTTCATGAAAAAGAGATAATATGAATAAAGTGTCCAATAATACCAGGCTGTCTCAGGGGAATTTAATGATGACATTGACATGGTACATTTCTGTATTTGCTCAAAGTAGTCCACATATGCTGTTTACCACACTTGTTGAATGCCCAGACCTGACTTCTTTTTTTTTGTTTGTTTGTTTGTTTTTTTTAATTGGTTGTTCAAAACATTACAAAGCTCATGATATATCATCTTTCATACATTTGACTCAATTGGGTAGACCTGACTTCTGATAGTGTTTTTTACAGCTTCCAGTAGCTGTCAAATCTTCCTCTATAAGTTGTTATATGACTTTTTGTTTTCACTAGAAACAGAAAGTTCCATTAGAAATCTTAACCTATCCACATGCTTGGGCCCTGGGCACCAGAGTAAGTGAATGAGCAGAGTGGGTTAAGTACTGTAGCTGGTACCTGTCAGTTGGCAATTCTCCCAGGGTACTCTTGACTCAGTTCCAAATGATCATATCCCTTGGAAGTGGCAAAGGCTCAAGTAGCTAGCTGGAAGAAAGCTTTGGAAAGAAGCTTATATATGAGAATGTACGGTTTCTTCTGTCAGAATCATTTGAATTGGCAGCTTTGCCCATTTTTCCCTTGTCAGTGTTCCTGAATATTATACTTTTATGAATATTTGGTTCTTTTAGCATTTCATTTCTGGTTACTACTTTTAAAATTTTTGTGTTCTGATATGGTATTGTCTAGAGAATCCCACTATATGATACCTATATATATAACACCAGCCATAAAGAAGTACACTTAAATGTTTCTTATGTTTGCCACTTTTTCCTGTAAAATATTTTTGAGAGAGACTGGATGAACCTATGCCTGCTCACTTTTTGCTGGCATTGTATGAAGGATACATTATATACTTTAGTTAGATTTGACAGTTTCTTGGAGATGGGAGGTTAAATATTCTCTCAATTAACTCAATGCCATTTTTAAATTTAAAATGTCTTTTGGGAGATTCTGTAGTTAATATTAAAAAAAATGAGCTTATGTGAATTAGTTTGCTTTTTTTCCTCCTCCCCATCCCCCTGTTGAGGAGATACCATTTCGACACTTGATCTGAAGCATGTGATTTGAAATGTTTGAGTTTTTTCCTGACCAGACCAGTTAGGTGTAGTTGTGTCCTTATTAAGTGGAGATACAAGTATGCTTGTAATTTGCGTCGATTTGAAAGTGGTGGTTTGTGTTAGATTTAGTGCGCTCTTAAGTGTCCTATATAAATGGAAACTATTCAGTGTTTTGGCAGTGTGATATGGAATAGTTCAGTAACAAAGGTACACCAAGTATGGTCTTTGGCTAGGTTTCTGTAGCTACCTTTTGATTTTGCAGAAAAAGCCACCACGTGAGAATGGCCATAAGCAGATAAGTAGCAGTTCCACTGGATGTCTCTCTTCTCCAAATGCTACAGTACAAAGCCCTAAGCATGAGTGGAAAATCGTTGCTTCGGAGAAGACTTCAAGTAAGTATATGACACTGACCAGATTTGTCTTCAGCTTATCTATTTTTAAGGAGTGTTGTCAATTTAATGCTTTTAAATTGACTACCTAAAAAATTCAGAACCAGTTAAACTTGGAAAACAGTAGAAAATGTTCCAGTCTGGGCTGGAAACTCTGGAGTCTAATTCAGAATCATGCAGCAATCAAAAGTTACGGATTTCCTCTTTTTTTAATGTGGAATTCTTGTGTTTACAGATAACACTTACTTGTGCCTAGCTGTGCTGGATGGTATCTTCTGTGTGATCTTCCTTCATGGTCGAAATAGCCCACAGAGCTCACCAACAAGTACTCCAAAACTAGTCAAGAGTTTAAGCTTTGAGATGCAGCCAGATGAACTAATAGAAAAGCCCATGTCTCCTATGCAGTATGCACGATCTGGTTTGGGTACAGCAGAGATGAATGGCAAACTCATAGCTGCAGGTAAGGCCAAAAGGGTTGGTGACTTGAATTTTACTAGGTAAGCCTGTAAGTAGGCATTTTTATTTGCTTATGGCATGCCTACACATTTTGGGAGTAAGGATTTAGTGTACTTTGTTTCTCCTGCACACAAATAACAAAGTAAATACAAATAACAAGTAAATACTGTTTACAAGATTAATACAAGATTAGTATCTTGTTTCAATTTTCCTATGGAGTTCCCCCCCCCCCCCCCCCCCACAGTACTGGGACTTAAACCCAGGGCATGCTAGGCAAGCACTCTACTACTGCACTAGTGAGCCACATGCCCAGTTAGTTTCTAATTTAAAAAAAGAAAAAGACAATATAGAGTGGGGCAAATTTTTCCTTTCCCAGTTACATTAATAATTCCATATTCTCAACTAATAGAAGCATTTAGTTAAAATACCAACTAGTGGGTCCTTAATATTTCATACTTTTTCTCATTGTGCACAATACTCTAAGTCATTCTGGATTAGAAAGCCTAGCCCAGTTTAATCTTGATGTTTCTTTTACAGGTGGCTATAACAGAGAAGAATGTCTTCGAACAGTTGAATGCTACGATCCACATACAGATCATTGGTCCTTCCTTGCTCCCATGAGAACGCCAAGAGCTCGATTTCAAATGGCTGTACTCATGGTAAGCACTTGTTGCACAAACAATCCATATTTAGCTTTTTTCTCATAACTTCAGAAGGGTAAAAATTTTCATCTCCTACTTTTGGCATAGGGTCAGCTCTATGTGGTAGGTGGATCAAACGGCCACTCAGATGACCTGAGTTGTGGAGAGATGTATGATCCAAACATCGATGACTGGACTCCTGTTCCAGAGTTGAGAACTAATCGTTGTAATGCAGGTAATGATATTTTTCTTCTGAGATAGACAGTATTTAAATACGAAAATGAAGTAATCAGTATATAATCATATTTTATACTTTCATAGGAGTGTGTGCTCTTAATGGAAAGTTATACATTGTTGGTGGCTCTGATCCATATGGTCAAAAGGGGCTGAAAAATTGTGATGTATTTGATCCTGTAACAAAGTCATGGACAAGCTGTGCTCCTCTTAATATTCGTAAGTTATTATTTTTTTTTAATAAACACATTACCAGTATGTGTAGTATACATAGTTTGGGTAACTATAGAAGTAATGGTTTGACTTGATTCTATAGGTAGACACCAGTCTGCAGTCTGTGAACTTGGTGGTTATCTGTACATAATTGGAGGTGCAGAGTCTTGGAATTGTCTGAACACAGTAGAACGTTACAATCCTGAAAATAACACCTGGACTTTAATTGCACCCATGAATGTAGCGAGGCGAGGAGCTGGGGTAGCTGTTCTTGATGGTAAGTGTCCACATTTGAAGAGGTGAAGGGTAGATACTGGCAAGAGTTTGTTCTAAAATTCCAAGAAAATGTCAATGATAATAACTATATACTTATAAAATTAAGAATTAGAAACAGCCATCTCTTTTAATGCAATGGGAATTGGGCATTTGTCCTTTGGAGACTCAAAATCAGAAGTTCAAAACTTGATACATATTCTATTTTTTCCATTTTGCAGTGCTGGGGATCAAACCCAGGGCTTTGTGCGTGCTGGGCAAGCATTCCATCACTGAGCTGTATCCCAGCATTTTATTTTGAGCAGGGTCTCACTAAGTTGCCCAGGCAGGCCTCCAACTTAATCCTCCTGCCTCAGCTTCCAAAATAATTGTGGATTACAGGCATCACCAATCTTTTGATGGGTGTATTCAGTAAAGTTCCAAATCATTTTTACTCCATAAAACATACCCAATAAATATATCATCCTGGATTTTGAGTTTCCCTTCCTTCACAGCAGTAGTTAAATTGATTTCAAAAGAATGTAAATACAAATCCCTGTATTTTCTAGTTGTCCACTCTATAATTAGAAATAAAACCTTTAGACATTTTAGTCTTTCCAAAGTATTAAACTTTGTTTTATATAGTTGCCTTTTCACATCTATTTGATTTACTTAATGTCTAATTATATAATCTTAACAATTTAGTAAGCATTGTTTTTGGAACAAAGTTGAATCTTGGTAGCTTATGGCTCCACAGGGAAAAGCTTAAATGTGTAGACATAGTACCAAGTATCCTAATGTCCTAGAGCAACTACCACAAAGAATTATGAGACTTGTACTTGATTTAGATGCTGCAGGTCCCCCCAACCAAGTTTGCCTAAGTTTCATGTGGGAATGGGTTTTTATCCATCTTACTCATTTTGTATCCCTAGCTTCTAGAGAATGCTCATTATGTAGGCAGTTAATACTTTTTGGCAGAACTAACAGGCATTTCTACTTAAAAACAACTAGTTTCATTTAGTAAGAGACAGACCCAGAGAGGCATGTGCCTGTAATCCCAGCTTTCGGGTGGCTGAGATGGGAGGATCCCTTAGGTCCAGGGGTTAAAGACCGGCCTGGACAACACCGCAAGAACGCATTTCAAAAAAAGAAAGAAAACAAAACAGGCCTAGGGGGTTTTCTTCATTACTTTAGCCTCTCAGATTTACTCTGTCTAATTTCTCTTTTAGGAAAACTGTTTGTAGGTGGTGGTTTTGATGGTTCTCACGCTATCAGTTGTGTGGAGATGTATGATCCAACTAGAAATGAATGGAAGATGATGGGAAATATGACTTCACCAAGGAGCAATGCTGGGATCACAACTGTAGGGAGTACCATTTATGCAGTGGGAGGATTTGATGGCAATGAATTTTTGAATACGGTCGAAGTCTATAACCTTGAGTCAAATGAGTGGAGCCCTTACACAAAGATTTTCCAGTTTTAACACATTTTAAGACCCTCTCAAACTAACAGGCTTAGTGATGTAATTGTGTTTAGTAGAGGTACACTTGTGAATAAGGAGGGTGGGTGGGTATAGATGTTGCTAACAGCAACACAAAGCTTTTGCATATTGCATATTATTAAACATGCTGTACATACTTTTTTGTGTTTGGAAAGGAATGCAAAGATGATTTTTTTGTGTGTATTTTTAAGACTTCTTTGGTTATTTTACTTTTTGGAAGTTGATATTGTAAAAGAATAAACCAAGAATTGATTGGGCACATGATTTCAAGAAGTCCCCTCTCCTCCACATTTGTTTTGCCAATTTGCACATTAAATGACTCTTCCCTCAAATGTGTATTATGGGGCAAGAGGGGGTTGGGTTTAAAGATGTAGGCAGTTGGGTTTTTTAAGGGCCCTTTTTCAATAACTGGAACACTCTATAACAAAAGATACTTATTTAAATAGAAGACAATAACTATTTTTGTTTTTATTAAAAGAAAGCTAACTTGCCTACCAATATTTAATCTTTTATGATTGCCTTTTTATAACTTTTTATATTCTCAGCAGAGTGCTTTACCTGTTGAAGTAAAATGTGGCAGATTCAAGTTAGTGAAGCAGAGTGGCAATCTTAAAGGATGCGGAGTGGGGTGATTCTTTTAAATGCTCAGAATGCAAACTTTTAAGCATTTTGCTCAACTGCATTTTTTTTTTCTTCTGAGAATGCCGTACCAACGTTTTTTTGAATGGAGTTGCTGAACAGTAACATAGTGATGATTTTTTGGTACTTGAAACACTGGTTTGAAGTATTTTGATTTGTTGAGGGTATAGTTTATACAGCAAGAGATTTAACTATATAGCAGAACAATGAAGTATTTGATCTCTTCCATAATCCTGCTTTTATTTATCATTAACAAAAGAATATTAAACAGAAGCCCTCGATTGAAAAAGTTTTTAAACTGTTGGGTTTGTGAATGCAGCCTTTATCAGAACTATGTTTTTGCTCAGTTTTTCTTTTTTTTGCTCATGGATAAATCTAGGGGATGATTTGGTGTCTAATGTGTAGTGTTACACACCTAATTGATGGTGCCAAACTTAGCACAGCACGTCCTAATGCTTGCTGCAGATGCAAACATATTAAAGGTACTTGCAGGAAATCCTTGCACCATGGGATTAATACCCAGTTGTTTGTGTACTCATTCATTACTAAAAGTTTGGGGGAAAATTTTTCAGTGAAGAAGAGTTAAAGCATTTGGGGAAGATACCCACCTGGCATATTACGTCTGAAAGAAATAGATAAATGTGTTTTTTCTTGTCACAGACAATGAAACACAGGAACCTAATGAGCCATGTAGGATGAGAGGACTATTCAGTAGCTAACTTGGATTAGGAAAAAAAAGTTGAATATTTTCTTGAAATATGTTGGTACTCTGGTACTTTGCCACCTTTCTCTCATCTGTTTTTACAGAAAACCAAGAAAGGAAATCAGTTCACCTGGTTACTGTGTAGTTCCTGACTAACCATCTGTCTCTGGTTTGTTTCTGAACTAAAACTAGAAGTTTAGATTTGAATTTGCCTAATAGGATGACTGTTGTTTATGGATCTGTGTTTGTTCTATTCAGCACAAGGAAATAAAGTTTAAGTTGAGGATTCAGCACTAAAATCCTTGAAATCACTTTTCATTTCGTAAGTGACATGCTTTATGCAAATAATATATGGGAATGCTTTGTGTTGAAGTTTTCCTGCATTACCATTGATGAAGAAACAGGGAGTTCGGTGGCTAAACATTTTTTAAGAAGTTATTATGGCTAATCTTCCTGAACACAAGTTTTCATGTGGGGAAAAACAACCAAAAAACAATAGTCACATAATTTTTAAAAATTCGGGGTTTGTTTTGGTTTTACCAGTATGTGTTATAGAATGGTTTAAAAATATAATTCGTAACACTACAACTTTGATTTCTTGTAATACTATGTAAAAAACATACTAGATTTTCTAAAACTGCATTTTTAATTTGAGACTGAGTCTCAGTAAGTTGCTCTTTCTGGCCTTAGCCTCCCAAGTTGCTGGTGTTAACAGTATGTGCCACTGCCAGGTAAAAAACTTGCCTTTAATTTACCAAGTAATTGGCTATCCTTAGGCATGAATTTATTTAAAATGTTTTAGAATTCCCTACATAAAAATAATTTAAGGGGAAAATACTTGATTAAGGGATATGATATACTGCTAGAATCAAATTCTTAAGTGGTCAGGGAAAGAGTCAGTCCCAATAGAGCATTTCTGCATCTTCAGAGCTGGCTTCAGTCACTTAATTTGTTCCCCCAAATCTGAAGAATCCAAGTGCTACATAGAGAAGGAAAGACAAGAAAACAACAATCTATGAATCTTCAAGTCCTTGGGAAGGCCAACCCACAAATTCAGTCCTATAAACATATTCATCACTACCTTTGGTTATAAAGGAATAATTGTTCTCAAGAGTCTTAAAACTATAAGTATTGTCATGGGTTCTTCAACCTACTAGTGCTGGGGTTGAGTCTAATCCTTCCATATGCTAGGCAAGCTCTCTACTACCGAACTACATACACACCCAGCTTTGGACTTCACTGTTGACAGGCTCCGTACCTTCTTGGGGCAGGACCGGGTTGAAGAAACAAGAGCTCAGTTTGTACAAGGAAATAGGAATCTAGGGAAGTGCTATAATATAATTTTAGTCTGGAAAGGGGGCATAACACAAAATACCTGATTTATGAAAGAATAAGATAAAGATGAAGGCATCTATCACATGCATGTAGCCATCCAATCAGTAACAGGCCAACCATCTACTGAGATATCTCCCACTTCTTATGTATTAAAACAAATGTTTGTTTCTCTTAACCAAAAGTGGTACTAACCCTTTGAGGTACAGGCTCAAAATACAAAGGATTTGTATAGTTCAGTTATTTGACTCACACATGCTATGCAGATACTCTCCCATTCATATCCCCAGTCAAATCTAATTTTAAATGGGTAAAAAATTTAAACAAGACAAAAATAAGTGAATGGCCAATAGGAATATAAGTTATTGTGAAAATGTAATAAGAACTAAAATGATGTATATCTACTAAGACTAGGTAATAAATTCTAGCAACTGTAGCTCATAAATTGCTGGAAAAAATAGTAAAATTGTATAGCCACTCAGGAAAAAGTTCGGCAGTTTCTGACCAAACTCTCTAATTCATAGGTATTTATCAAATGAAATGGAATATGTTCAGCAAACTTGAATGTAAATACATCACCTTTATTCATAATACTAAAAACTGAAATCAAAGCTTTCCAAATGGTAAACAAACAAGTAAACTGGTATACTCATTGTACTGGAATATTAGGATAGAACTATGGATGGATCTCCAGCATCACGGGAAATAAAGCTATACTATTATTTAGCATTCTGGAAAAGAAAACAGGCCTCCTGAGGTGGGGACGTGCATTAGAAGTGATAGAACTTTCTTGAATGAGCTGGTGATCACAATGTGTTGGGTAAAACTCAATCTACAAAGAAAGTGGTGCCAAACCTATAATGAAGGGCTAGGTCATGTCTGTTTTTTACCTCACTAGAAATCACCAGGAAATCATTAGTTCTTACCTTGCAGAAGTCTACTAAGCTAATGTGGGTTAGCCTGTGATCATTAGTCTACAGTAAAGTTGTAGATGAGACTCAAAATGCAGAATATTAAAGTTGGTTTGCAGTTTAGGAACGATTAATAACAAATAACTCTCCAGGTTTATTAATGTAGTTCCCAAAAATCTGTCCCCTATGCTTTCAGCATCAGAATTAAACTTGAGGCATATCTAGAAACTAGATCAGAATTATAAAGGATTCCTGTAATGAGAAGAAAGCACACACGCACACACACTTTGGACAGTTCTTGTTTCCACCAGCAGTCAAGAAACTATTTAAAGAACATAAAGACGAGCGTTCTAAAATGCAGGTATAAAAAGTGGCTTTTCACCAAACATCACAAGCAGCTTTCCAGTCAAACTTTGGTAGGAATGGTAGGGCATGTCCTTTTTAGTAGTTGAGTCTGAAAGTCAATTGGTTAAAAATATTTTTTGACCACAACTTAATTCTCTTAATTCAGAGACTAAAAGTAGTGTACTTCCTGCCCTTGTGGAACTTTGGTACATTTACTAGGGTGGATTTTATTAGCAAAATAGTCCAGCAGCAGCCACCAAAATATGAAGGTGGCTGGCCTGTCCAATCTTAAGAGTTGCTATAAGTAGCATCAATTTCTGAGAATGAGAGATGTGATTTTTCAGTAATGAATTACATTTCCCTTAAGATATAAATTCCTCCCAATCCATCATGGTAGGGGGCTGATCTAGGGAGTTGCCAGATATCAGTAATATGAACATTAGAAACTAAGCTCTGAAAATTGACCAGTACACTAAATGTAGATTGGCCCTGAAAAGGCCTCCGTTCTTCCTGAAGATTGCATTCAAAGTAACAAGGGAAGAACTCTGGATCTGTTTTATGTCACTTGATTTTACATGGGGCACAAACACCCACATTGTGAAAATGAAATTAACTGTCTCTGAAATTCTAATGTGTATAGCCACAATTGCCTAAGAAGCATGCTGTGAACCCAAATGTTTTAGCATGCTTCTTATGGCTTTTGCCACAATTGCAGGTCCTAACAAGAAGACCCAGTGGAGTACAACAAATCTCAAATTTTAAAACACTTTTCCTTTGCCCTGAATATAGAGACAGCTGGGGAATTCTCCAAACCAAACCAGAGCATGCAATCCTCCCAGGAGGGAAACGAGTTTTTTGGTAAAATTTTACTTTTTCTAAATAAGTTGAAAAGGCAAATAAAAGGGGATCTTGTACCTAAGCATGTAACATTGCTGGAATACCCACCCTCAAAGCTCCTCATTAGGTCAAGGCCAAGGGTATTTGTACAGAAAGTCCCTCCTCTGGTATGAATTTTCTCATCAGTCTCTTTGGGTTCACAGCATGCTTCTTATATACCAGCTATGCACATTAAAGAATGGATAGTTCATTCTTTAAAGTTATACAGCATGGGGCTTGGGATTCATAAGCCAAGTGAGTTAACTCTAAACAGTGGGGAGCCAGAGAAAGAGTAGAGAGCAGGGGAAAAGGGAACTTGCAATCTCCTGTGTTGAACAAGGATAAAACTAACAATAAAGCTTACAATTGGTAAAGAAGGAAGGGGGGAGAAAGAAAAAACATTTCAACTACAGAAAATCTAAAACAAAAAATTTAAAACAAATATAAAAGTAGAAAGAATGTATCTCAATAAAATAAAAAATTGTTAAGTTGAAATGAAGTGACAAATTAATATGCCAAGTAAAACTCACATAGACTAGGATTATCCACAGAGCAAAACAAAAACCCAATAACAAACAAAAGTAGGTGAGGGATGAAGATCTGGAAGGGTTGGGGTTTTTTTTTTTTTTTTTTGAAGAGGAGATGTAAGGGAGTTAATACTTGGAGGAAACTTGGGGGGGGGTGCTTTTTTTGGCTCCTCAAGGAGAAAAAGGGAAGAGCAGAGATACTCTCCTGAAGCCTGCTGTGTCCCAGACACTCTCAGCCCCATCTGTGTACTTGGTACAGTTTCCTAACTGCAGACAGCTTAGTGGGTCCAGCACCAACTCCCAGTAAGCATCTTGAGTTGGCTCTTTTGAGGGTCACTTTTATAATTACATATTGTACTCATTTAAGAAACACTATTTGGAAGCAAAATGAAAAGCAAAACTTTCTAAAAATAAGTTATTTATTGCTCGTTTTTAAAAATAAATGAACATTTATAATAGAATTCCAAATTTGATTTAGTCTAATATATTAACAAAAAGGACAATACACACCAGTAAACAAGGATTTCCAACTTGCTACATAACTAAAAAACAAGTCAATTAAACACTTGCTTTCAGACAGGGGCAAACATCAGTCACTGCCACTTAATTTGAAAAATCCATGTTGCTTTCCATACCTAAGCAACAATTCAATAGGGGTTGCCTTGCTCTTCCCCACTGGAAATGAACTGAAAAGCTATAAGCCAAGAGAAGGAAAGAAGAGCTGAATTGAAAGATAGGAACTAAAGTCAAAATTCTTTCATTACCCAGAGGAAGGTGGGAGTGGTATTATTTCTACCAGGTTTACTTGACTCAAAGTTTGATTATAAGCAGCCCAGGACAGATGGGCGTGGTGACACACATCTGTAATCACAGCAACTTGGGAGACTGAGGCAGGAGGATCACAAGTTCAAGGCCAGCCTTAATAACTTAGACCTTGTCTCAAAAAATAAAAAGGGGTGGGGATGTAACTTAGTGGTAGTACACCCCTGGTTTTGAGCCCAGTACTATGAAAAACAAAACAACCAACCCAGGAGAAGATTTTATTTGTGGAATGTGGTAAGCATGGTCATGTCCTAATTTTTTCTTACCATCTAGCAGTGTCTGATCATGTGCCCATACTCAGGGTTGGGAGAGATGCTAATGATGTGTCCTGGGCCTTCCTCAGATGCCACAATGGCTTCTGCCATAGTAAGACTGAAAAGATGGCTCTCTTTTCCTTAGAGATACTGGCTCGGTATCAGATAGAGGTATGGACATATTGTCAACTCTAGAAGAATCAACAATTTATCCCACAACTGATGCATTAAG